CAGGCTTCCAGCTGGACTTAACCCAGGTTCACCTGCTGACGAGTCATGGGTTATTTTTTTTTCTTCAAAAATCTCTTGAATGTATAAAAACATTCAAACCTTTAAAGAATTTTTGTGGGTTTATTTGAGCCAAACTGTCAATAATTGCAGGGAAGCACTATCTCAATGGATTGGGATATGCTCCAGAGAATATTTTTACACATAGCGATCAAAGAGGGGAGGTAGGTGGGTTACATGAAATCCATTGTGATAGATTAGAGAGGCGGGAGAAAGCAAGGGGGGGGGGTGTGGGGAGGACAGTGACCTCTGGGATTGGAAAAAAAGTGAAATGATAGACACATAGTTTGGTGGGTGCAGGATAGTTAATAGTCAACAATTAACATGATAACAATAACAATGGAGGAATTTGTGGTGTCGGTCCTGGTGCTCAGCACAGTAGGTTGTCCCCCAAAGGATCTGGAAAAAGGGAAGTTACAAGTTACCCAGACATTTCAAGGATATGTTATTATAGACGCAAAAAGACAGATAGGCTCAGTTAAAGTAAAGGTTGACCTTCTCAGAGAAGATACCAGCGTAGGAGGTGACTACCCACCATAACTGCTTTTAGTTAAAGTTTCATTTCAAACTATCCTTTGTGTTGACTTTAGGTCTCTGAGTTTGCAAGACCGCCATGCAGCCTCCCCTGAGCTTGTCAGGTCAGCATGTGGCCCCTTTCATCCACAGTTATAATGATCAATCTTGCCTTTAGAATAGCAAGATACTTGTTTTTGTAGGATAGACGTGATGGAAAGAATGCTATCCTCTCCCCAGCTGTCTGTGTGGCAGGAAAGAAAAACCTACATTAAGTGAAAATCAATGAAAAATAGAAATTTCTTGGATGAATGGGAAAGAGAAAGGTTTGGAGGGGTGACTAGATCAAGAAAAATGAAAGGGCATTAAGCAGCGATGTGGCCACTTTAACTTGTTAATAATGTGAATGCATTGCGGCTAATGGATCATTTTACGTGGTTTAAGTTCCTGTCACATTCATCATCCCAGTTGGCCTCTGTATCTCTCCTATGAGGCGGGCAGGATGTATTGGAATCTCCTAACTATATAGGAACCGGGTGACAGAAAATCAGTGCATCTACCGAGGTCTTCGACTGACATGGAGTCAGAATTAAGAATGCAATCAAGACCCTTGGTACTTCTCAAACTGCCAGTTACAGAAACAGACCCGGGGATGTAATGTACAGCATGGGGAAGACAGTCAATTATGTGGTAATAATTGTGCATGGTGTCAGATGGGTACTAGACTTATGGGGGTGATTACTTCATGACGTATAGAAATGTCTAATCACTATGTTGTACACCTGGAACTAATATGATGATTGCCAATTGTAATTTAAAAATGAATGTCTAAAAATGTTCTTAAAAAGACCGATGGTACGTCTTACACTTTATTTACTCTCTTTCTTTAGCAATTGTTCCCCTGGCCAAGGTCCTGTTAATGGAAACAACATTCAAACCCGTAAAGAATTTTTGTGAGTTTATTTGAGCCAAACTGTCACCGATTGCCAGGAAGCAATATCTCAATGGATTGGGGTAGTGCTCCGGAGAAGGGCAGTTTCTCGTCTATTTTATACACTGCCATCAAAGAGGGGTCGTAGGTGGGTTACGTGAAATGCACAGGTGATAGATTAGAGAGTCGGGAGAAAGCAAAAACCCAGAAACCACTGGGATTGGACAAGGAATAAAATGATAGACACAGAGTTAGGTAGGTGCAAGGACAATTAACATGGTAACAATGAAGGAATTTGTATTAATAGTATCTGGCCAGGAGCCCAGGCACATTGCCCCAAAGAGTCTGGAAAAAGGGAAGTTACAAGTTACCCAGACATTTCAAGGGTATGTTACCTTAGATGCAAAAAGACAGGCTCAGTTAAGGTAAAGGTTGACCTTGTCAGAGAAGATACCGGCCGAGGAAGTGACTACCCACCAGAACTGCTTTTAGTTAAGTTTAATTTCAGACCATCCTTTGTGGTTACCTTAGATCTCTGAGTTTGCAGGACCGCTATGCAGGCCTTCCCTGAGCTTGTCAGGTTAGCATGTGGCCCCTTTCTTCCACAGTCCTTTTAGAATTTGGATGGTGATGTCTGCAAGCTGGTATCCTGTCTGGGGACAGTACTAGACCTGGGGAAGGACAGAGACAAAGAAATAGTGCAATATATAGGAGAGGAACTGCATTATACAGATACTTTCCTTGAGAAAAGACTTTGACTATTGAGTTCTGCCACCAAAATTAAAAAAAAGGGGGGAAGGGGAAGAGAAGAAGAAATAAAAGGGCGAGCAATTTCACTCCACACACCATTCAGTGGAAGGCTGGGTCTTAGTGAGCAATCTGCCTCCCTCCTCCTCTGTCGGTTCCCTTCCCTCCCAGGGGCAGATTGTTGGGCTGAGTTTGAAGTTGATGTTCATCAATGAACAGATTTCAAATAGCAAGCCCTGCAGAGCTAGCCATAATTAGAGGCACAAGTGGACAACCTGAGATTTGATTTGGCTCTGGATGAGAAACCCTCTGTGATGTTTATATTATGTGACATAGAGACAGAGCCACACAGGGAAGAAGTTCACGTGATGATGGAGGCAGAGAGGAGAGTGATGAAGCTACAGCTGAGAAACGCCATGGACTGCCAGTAACACCGGAAGCTGGAGAGAGGCATGGGATGGGTTCTCCCTCAGAGCTTCCAGAAGAGCCAACACCTTGATTTAGAGCTGTGAGACAATAAATGACAATAGACATTAAGCTCCCAGTTTGTGGTCATTTGTTACAGCAGCCACTGAGCGTTCATACAGCTAGCTACCAGGCAGGCTATTTCCTGAGACACATAGGACTTCTCTGATGGGCAAACTTGGCTCAAGGACTTCCAGACAGCCATGCTGAAACTTTTATAAATATATTTTATTGATTTTTTACAGAGAGGAATAGAGAGTTAGAAATATCGATGAGAGAGAGAATCATCCATCAGCTGCCTCCTGCACACCCCCCACTGGGGATGTGCCCGCAACCAAGGTACATGCCCTTGACCGGAATCGAACCTGGGACCTTGCAGTCCGCAGGTTGACGCTCTTTCCACTGAGCCAAACCGGTTTCGGCAGTCTATCTTGACTTTTGAATGGACTTTTAATCATCGTGAGTTTATAACATCCCATATGGGTCATTTGAAAAATATTGATTCACTAAGTTATGTAGATCTTCCAAATATTAAAATATGGCATTATTCATTATTTTTAAAAAATGTATCTGTTACTATCACCACCATCTAACCAGAAAAATGCTTTAAGTGTCGGGAAGTGGCCCAGATCACAATGGTGGAGATGAGTTTCCCAAAAGTCAAATTTTTGTTTGAAAGCTTGAATTTAAAAAACAAAACAAAATGATTTTAAAGAGAGGAGGGAGGGAGAGAGAGAAAAAAAAAATCAACTGGTTGCCTCCCACGTGGAGTTCAAATCCACAACCTGGGTATGTGACCTGACTGGGAATCAAACCTGCCACCTTCTGGTGTTTGGGATGACATTCCCACTGAGCTACACTGCCCAGTGCTAAAAGCTTAAATTTTATCATGGAAATAAATCTTGTCAAATGCCCTGAGCCATTCTTATGCAAATATTGCCTTCCTTCTCAAGAAGTCTGGGAATAATAATGATAATTTCCACCACTTAGTAGCTCTTATTGTGTGCTAAGTTTACATGTTATCTTATTATATTTACATGTTATCTTTTTTTTAAAAAAAAAATAAGATTGTGTATCTTTTATTCTTTTTTAAAATGTATTTTATTGATTTTTTTTTTTTTTTTATAGAGAGAAAAGGAGAGGGATAGTTAGAAACATCAATGAGAGGGAAACATCGATCAGCCGCCTCCTGCAGGGGATGTGCCTACAACCAAGGTACATGCCCTTGACTGGAATTGAACCTGGGACCCTTGAGTCCACAGGCCCACGCTCTATCCACTGAGCCAAACCAGTTAGGGCTATATTTACATGTTATCTTGTTATTATATTTATTTTCACTATATTATTTATATTTTATAGTGGTGGCAAAAAGTCTAGCGCCAGCCTTGAAAGTGACACGACTATAATTTTTTTTTATTTATTATATTTGTAAATTGTACTTACGTTGAAATTTAAAAAAAATCTATTACAATACTATTTTTGCATTCTATGAAAATTTTTGTTGCTCCATATAGACCAAATTTTTAATCAAGAACCCTCCCCCCCAATGGTGTCCGGCTTTACCAATGTTAAAATCTGGTCACCTTAGTGTAATCAATGGCACTGCTTTTGCCAGGCCTCAAGTGCGTTTGCTTGCTTGTTTTTCAGTATCCTCCAACTGTCAAGTATTAATAAAAGGCATGGCCCTTTTAGTGTAGACTGTCAGTATTTGTGGAATGAATGAAAAGTGAGTAAGGGAATGAATGGATGGAAACGTGATCTTCATACACCAGAGGAGTCCTCTGGGTCTTCAGCGCTCCCTCCGGAGACCCTGGCCCAGGGAGACTGGGGCTGGGGCTGGGGCTGGGGCTGCGGCTCCTGGGCACCGGACGTCCCGAGTCCCGCCCCTCAACCACTTCAACAGCCTCCCATCAGGTGAGAAGCTGGGCCCACCTTGGTGCTTTTGATGTTTTCATCTCCCTCCCCTGCGCTTCCCCCCCCTCCGACCCTGCAGCGGGGCTCCGGCGGCTCCAGTGCAGATCCAGGAAAGGGCCGCATCCGCCCCACGGGCGCGGGCTCAGAGTCCACCCCGGGCCGGCGCCCGCCGCGCACGCCCACGCCCACCTGTCCGCCGCGCAGGCGCAGCACGCGCCCGGCGCGCCCGGCCTCCCCGCGCCCCGCGGGGCGCCGCCAGTGCGCAGGCGCGGCGGCCGATGCGAGTGTCTATGTGCGGGCGAGAAGATGGCGGCGGCGGGGGAAGCAGCGTGAGCAGTCGGGCGAGCGACGAGGCTCATTGAAACGGGCCGCCATGGCCCTCCGCAGCCCACAGGTAGCTGCCGGCCCGTGCCCTCGGCTGGAAGGGGCCCCCGAGACGCGGCGGACGGGCAGCGGGGCGGGCAGCGGGCGAGCGCCCGCACCCTGGCCCGGAGCGAGGCGTGTGGGAGTGGGGGAGGGCGCCGGGACACGCTGCCTGGGACTAGGCCCCGAGCCTCCCGCAGTCTCCGCGCCTCGGCCGCCTGCCGCCGCGGTCCGCCCCGCGCCGGAGCCGGCCGTCCTCCTGCCCGTGGGAAGCAGCGGGAAGAGGTCGTGGGGGGGGGGCGCGAAGGGGTTAAACCTCCCCGGCTGGACCGCGCCGGCTATGGAAACGGGGCCCTTGTCACCCGGAGAGGCAGCCTGGGGGCTTCGGCAGGCCCCTTGGGCGGCGGAGCTCCAAGCACTCCCGTAGCCTCTCTGCCCCGAGCGAGCCACCAGATGTGGGGGTGCCCGGTTTCTCCCCGTCTCCAATGGCTGCTTTCTCAGCTTGATTGACCACGGGGCGGGGGGTGGGGGGGGGGTGTCTCTTGGCTTGCTGGTTTACTAGTTTTTACACTCAAGTCATTAAGGAGCATCCTTGGGTTACTGTATGGACCATGTTAAATTCATTAACAAGAAAACGAAAAATAAGTCTCCAGGACTGTACTTTTACCCGCGAGTGACATCTTTTGCACGAATCCATGTCAGCCTCCCTGACACTATGCACCCTGTCACAACAGTATCCACAGGTTAGGGGATGTTTGTAATAATCCCATAGAGGAAAGAAAGTAAAATGCACCTGTGTCAAGTTGAGTTCGAGTCACACTCCTCCCTTCCCCATTACAGATACTCTGGATAAAAAAAAAAAAAAAAAAGCGACGTGTGTGATTATTTGTCAAGTTTGCTGTAGACTGCTGATTTGTTAACATCTAATCCCTAGAAGTTACTGCACTTTTATACCGTCTCAATGTCCTTTTGTGTTAAGTATGGGGGAATGAAACAAAGTAGCTATTCGGTAAACTGGTGGCCGGTAAGTCCTAACCCTTTTCAAGTATTGGCTTTTGTTGCCTTTTTGGAAATGAAGTCGATTTTAATTACTGTTGTAATTAATGCGTGTTGTGGAATTTAAAACGTGAAAACCTTTTAAAAAGTTAAATCCACAGAGTTGCAGTTTCATTAAATTATTGGTACTGTAGTTTGCACTGGAAGTTTCTCCTTTTAACTTTTTGTTCATGTGTACAACTACTCTTTAGTATTTAGTATTGCACTTGGTACAAAAAAAGAGACTTAGTAGTTGAACAATTTTTACAAATGTGTAATTAAAAGACTTTAAGAGATTTGGTATCTGCTTTTTTCTCAACTTAAAATATGCATGCAAATAGCTTATTATAGTAAGTATGGACAGGTTCAAGGGCATTGTGAACTAATGTGTGATAGAATAGTCATGGTGTCTGGCTTGTGTGGCTCAGTTGGTTTGGTGTCGCTGAACAGCCAAAGGTTACTGTGCTTCGATACCTGTACCCGGTGATAGAGTTTTCTCTGTCATCTATGTTCCTATCTCTCCCTTTCTCTTTTTGAAATCAATAGAACAAAACTATATTTTAAAAGAAAAAATATTCATAGTGATTTTGAAATGAAAAAAGAATGTCAGGCACAATTCACTGCCATTATTATCGGCACTAATCACAATGCAAAATTTATTGAAATGTTAATTATCAGTGATAATATGTGAACCTAATCGTAATTTTGTTTTCATTCATTGTTCTAGTACTGTATTTATGTTTTATACAACAATATGGCCTATATACATCTTTATAAAATTGGAGTGGCAAAAGTTAGCTGAATATAAATGCTAGCAGCACTTTGGGTTATACTTTTAAAGCAGTGTTTCCCAAACTTTTGACATATGTGTACCCCTTCTATAATTTTCGTAAAGCTGAGTACCCCTCGTACTCATGAGAACGTAGAATTAGGCGCATCTAAGCACGGTGCAGTGCATATCCCCACCAAACTCCGTTGTAATGCGTACCCCTGGGGGTACGAGTACTACACTTTAGGAAACATTTAAAGTATGGTTTAAATGATATTAAGTTCTAGCATGGAGAATTTAGCAATGGAAATAGTATGATTTCTCTCTTTTAAAATTAAAAAAAATATATATATTTTATTGATTTTTTACAGAGAGGAAGGGAGAGGGTTTGAAAGTTATTGAAACATCGATGAGAGATAAACATTAAACAGCTGCCTCCCGCACACTCCCTTTTGGGGATGTGCCCTTGACTGGAATCGAACGTGAAAACCTTTTAAAAAGTTAAATCCACAGAGTTGCAGTTTCAGTCTGCAGGCTGACCTCTATCCAATAAGCCAAACCGATTTTGGCTTATTAGTAATTCTTGAAAGAGACATTTTTATTGGAGTCTTACATAGGAGCAACTGAAGTATATAAAATTATTTATATATAGGATACTTGGAGATTTCTTTTTTCCTTTGCATACTGACAGCAAAATATTGAGACATATACTAAGACTAGTTATGCTATTTAAAGTTTGTGAGTTGATGGTTGTTGCCTCAGTGGTTTCTACAAAACAGCAGTGCAGGTGAATGGTATTCAGGGCCTTGCCCTCATGCTCTGGAGCCCATATTGTTGGGACCAGAGTATACTGAAATTATAGTGAATAATAAGTGGATCTGCCTCATTCTAAACTCCTCTTAGAGCAAAAGTTAGGATAAATATTCCAGACCTTTTTAAAAATGTGGAACTGGCATGATTTAATAGTGCACACATAGGAAAACTTAAAGGAAAACTTATGAACTTTTATTGTTCATAAAGGAGAAAATTATTACAAAGCTTAATGGTTATTTACTGCCAAGCCTAGTGACACATTTACTTTGTGCTTTCTTTGCTCAGAAGAGAGTATTCAAATACTTGAGAAAAGTTGTATCTCTTCTCTACTTGAAGTAGTTACATCAAAGTTATTTTTGTTTGTTTTAGTGTTTTTACAGATTTCAGACATGTGAGTACTTGCTAATATGGATCTGGTTTTTCAAGTGGCACATTAAAGGTGGTTGATGAGTACATTTCTTATTTTCTGATATACCAAGTATAAAAATAGGAAGAGTTTGCTTTTGAGTTTGTAATTAGACTTATATTTCTATTAACTGCCACACATACAAAAATCACTTTGGCACAAAACAGGTAAATCTGTTAGCAATGGAATTTACTGGCCTTAGGCCATTGGATTACTGTCATTTGTCACATTAGTGCTATTTCAGCAGTATAGATGTTCATTTTCAAAGACTTACATGTGCTTGGACTGCAGTTTTTCTGTTTATTGAATTGATCTTCCAAAAAGTCTTTTTTTATTTTAAATAAATCTTTATTGTTCATATTATTACAAATGTTCCTCATTTCCGCACCCCTCCACCAGGTTCCCACCCCACCCTCTGCCCTTTCCCCACCTCCATTGTCCTCATCCATAGATGCACAGTTTATGTTCAGTCTCTTCCCACACCCCCTTCGCCCCTTTTCCCTGAGAATCGTCAGTTCACTCCCCTTCCATACTTCTGATTCTATTATATTAACCAGTTAATATTGTTCATCAGATTTTTTAAATTCCCATGGTTTTTAGATTCACTTGTTGATAGTTACTTATTTGTTGTTCATAGTTTTTATCTTTATTTACTTTCTCTTACAAAAGAACCCCCTTCAGCAATTCATATAATTCTGGTTTGGTGGTGAAGGTTCTTTTTTTTTTTTTTAATAAATTTTTATTGTTCATATTATTACAAATGTTTCTTCTTCCTTCCCCCTCCCCCCCATTTGCTCTCCTCCACCAGGTTCCCATCCCACCCTCTGCCCTTTCCCCACCCCTCATTGTTCTCATCCATAGGTGCACAGTTTATGTTCAGTCTCTTCCCACATCCCCCTCTCCCCTTTTCCCTAAGAATCGTCAGTTCACTCCCCTTCCATACCTCTGATTCTATTATATTCAACAGTTAATATTGTTCATCAGATTTTTTTTTTATTTTCTTGGTTTTTAGATTCACTTGTTGATAGTTACTTATTTGTTGTTCATAATTTTTATCTTTATTTACTTTCTCTTCCAAAAGAACTCCCTTCAGCAATTCATATAATTCTGGTTTGGTGGTGATGAATTCCTTTAGCTTTTTTTTATTGGTGAAGCTCTTTATCTGGCCTTCGATTCTGAGTGATAGCTTTGTTGGGTAGATTATCTTTTGCTGTAGGTTCTTACTATTCATCACCTTGAATATTGCTTGCCATTCCCGTCTGGCCTGCATGGTTTCTGTTGAGAAATCAGCTGACAATCGTATAGGTGCTCCTTTTAGGTAACTACCTGCTTTGCTCTTGCTGCTTTTAATATTCTCTCTTTGTCTTTTGCTCTTGGAATTTTAATTATGATTTGTCTTGGTGTGGTCCTCTTTGGATTCCTTTTGTTTGGAGTTCTGTGCACTTCCTGGACTTGTAAGTCTAATTCTTTCCCCAGGTGGGGGAAGTTTTCTGTCACTATTTCTTTCAGTATGTTTTTGGTATCTTGCTCTCTCTCTCATCTTCTGGGACCCCCATAATTCTGATGTTGGTTTGCTTGAAGATGTCCCAGAGGTTTCTTACATTATCTTCAATTTTCTGGGTTCTCTTGCCTTCTTGCTTCTGTGGAGGAGTGTCTTCTGGCTCTTTATATTCCAAATCTTTGACTTGATTCTTGTGATCTTCCATTCTGTTTTTAGGACTCTAAGTCCTAAAAACAGATCTTCCATTCTGTTTTTAGGACTTTTTTATTTCAGACAATGTATTCTTTATTTCTTGTTGATCCCTTATCATGTCTTGTTGATTCCTTATTAATTCTAGTTGATTCCTTTTCATATCCTCATAGGTCTTATCAACCTTTTCTAGGAAATTCTTGAAGAACCTTATAAGCATAGATTTGAACTCTATATCCAGTCGCTTTTTGTCCTCCATTTCTTTCGTTTGTGATCTATTTCGTTGTCTCGGCATTTTCGCAGCTTCCCTGATGGGGC